AAACGCTAGACCACAAGCCCTCAACAATAAACCATAGAAAATTACTTCAGGTGTATCCCGTATGTACAAATGGATACAGATGTTTATGAAATAGTGTCTAGAGTTTACGAATTAGGGTTTAGGGTTTACAGATTAGCGTCTAGGGTTTAGGGTTTATATGAACCTTGGGTATCCAGAGTGTCCGTAGAGGAACATGTCCATAAAATATATTTTAATTGTGCTTAGCATTTATTTAATTGTCCTAAACTACAAATTAGTGTTCCAAGTGTCTAAATTAGTGTTTAGGGTTTAGGGTTTAGGGTTTAGGGTTTCCGCACCTTAGGCGTATGAGGTACAGGTAGTGGGACCTTAGCATAAAGATATTTGAATTGTGCCTGGCATTGATTGAATTATCCTAAATAACGAATTAGTATCTAAATTATTGTTTAGGGTTTAGAAATTAGTGTTTAGGGTTTAGGGTTTAGGGTTTAGGGTTTAGGGTTTACCTTTGGTGTATGAGGTATAGGCAGTGGTACTTTAGCATAAAGATATTTTAATTGTGCCTGGCATTGATTGAATTGTCCTAAATCACCAAATTGGAGGGCAAGACGAGCATTATGTTCATAAACTTTACAAGAAAATATATTTTGTATATGTTGTACTGTTAGATCTTGACGTAAACTACGAAATTGTTCATCTAAATATAACCATATACGTTGACGTTCTCCTCCTCCTCCTGCTGCTACTGCTCCTCCTGCTGCTCCTGCTGCTCCTGCTGCTGATGATGATGACGAATATTTTGATGGGTTATAAGGTGGGGTTCCTCCTCCTCCTGCTGCTCCTCCTGCTGCTGCTGCTGCTGCTGCTGCAGCAGCAGCACGCTCCTTCTCCTCTTCTTTTGATGCAACTTGCAACAAATGTTTTAATGTTAAATGTAATACGTGCTCAGGGCGAACCTGCAGCAGCAACAGCAGCAGCAGCAGCAACAGCAGCAGTAGCAGCAGCAGCAGCAGTAGGACACATGCAGCAACAGCAACAAGCAGATTTATATCATAACAGCAGCAGCAGCAGCATATATAGAGCAGCAACAGCAGCAGCAGCAGCATATATAGAGCAGCAACAGCAGCAGCAAGATTGCCACCATTAACATCGTCATAAACAGCAACACTAAAACACCAACAGCAGCAACACCACCACCACAGCAGCAATACAACAGCAACAGCAACAGCAGCAGCAGCAGCAGCAGCAGCAGCAGCATGCGTACTGTAGCTGGATCCGGAGCATTAGTAAGCCTAAGATAAGGTTTCTCTATATCATTAGATGTGCCTATTATTCTTTTTGTGCTTCTTGCTAACTCTAGCTTCTCTGACCAAGACATAGGTGCAGCAGCAGCAGCAGCAGCAGCAGATGATGATGATGATGATGATGATGATGCTGATGATGCTGTTGCTGCACGCTGTTGCTGTTGCTGCATGCATACATACATATATACACACACAATTGCAGCAGTAACATGAGCAGCAACAACAATACCAGCAACAACAACAATAGCAGCAGCAACAACAGCAGCAGCAATAATAGCAACAGCAGTAGCAGCAGCAACAGCAGTAGCAGCAGCAACAGCAGCAACAGCAGCAGCAGCAGCAGCAGCAGTGCTAACCTTGAATCTTTCTAGTCGATGTTGTCTTCTTTTATTTTCTTCTGCGCTATTTAATCCTTCAAACCCTTTTATCCTGCAGCAGCAGCAGCAGCAGCAGCAGCAGCAGCAGCAACAGCAGCAGCAGGAGCAATTAATTTATTTATTTATTCATTTATTCATTAATTTAATTTAATTAATTAATTAATAATTAATAATTAATTAAATTAATTATTAATTTAATTAAATAAAAGATTTACTCTTTATTTTTATTTCTGTTAGCATTTGCTGCTGCTGCTGCTGCTGCTGCTGCTGCTTTTCTTGCTGCTGCTTCTGCTTTCTTTAGCCATTTCTTCTTCTCTGCTCCCTTAAGGGATATATAGCTGCTGCTGCTGCTGCTGCTGCTGCTGCTGCTGCTGCTGTCTTCATCATCATCTAGATCGTCACTACGATGATGATGATGATGCTGCTGCTGACGTTGCTGCAATTGCTGCAGTTGCTGCAGTTGCTCCAGTTGCTGCTGCTGCTGCTGCTGTTTCTGCTGCTGCGCTGCTGTGTCTGGATCTGCCTGCCGTCTGTATAGCATTGCTGCAGACACAAACACAATGCATATACAGACACATCTGCAGCAGCAGCAGCAACAGCAACAGCAGCAGCAGCAACAGCAGCAGCAGCAGCAACAGCAACAACAGCAACAGCAGCAGCAGCAGCAGCAGCAAAAGTATATATATTTACCTGAATGTACGGATCGTCCAGCAAAGAGTCCCTTATGTTGTTCTTGTTCCTGCTGCTGATGATCTTGCTGCTGCTGCTGCTGCTGCTGCTGTTTGTGTTGGTCTTGCTGCTGCGATTCTTTCTTTTGCTGCTGCTGTTGCGGTGACCGTCCACAACTATCAGCAGCAGCAGCAGAATCAGGAGGAGGAGGAGGACCATCAGCAGCAGCAGCAAGTTGCTGCTGCATATCTTGTATAGAGGGAATATAATTATAATTAAATAAATTAAATAAATAATTATTTTGTTTATATTCTTTTGTCTTTTTATCTACATAACTAAATATAATTAATGATAAACATGGATCTCTTAATGATGCCTGTATACACAAATATACATATACATATACTTCCTCCTGCTGCTGCACCTTCTGCTGCTCATGCACCTCCTGCTGCTCCTGCTGCTGCTGATGCTCCTGCTGATTGTGGTGGTGCTGCTCCTCCTAATGGCGGTGGTGGTGGTGGTGGTGCTAGTGGTGGTGCTAGTGGTGGGGTTGCTAATGGTGTTGCTGCTCATTGTTGTGATGCTAATGGTTATGCTGCTGCTGCTGCTGCTGCTGTTGCTGCTGCTGCTGCTGTTGCTGCTGCTGCTGCTTACCGAGTGGTGTGCGTAAAGGCGATTTACCCAACCTGCAAATTCAGCAAAATCGCGTTGCTGCTGCTGCCGCTGCTGCTGCTGCTGCTGCGGACTTGCTAACTGCTGTTGCTGCTGTTGCTGTTGCTGTTGCTGTTGCTGCTGTTGGGCCTGCTGCTGCTGTTGCTGCTGCTGCTGCTGCTGCTGTGGGGTTGCTGTTGCAGTTGCTCCTGTACCTAAGACATCAAAGCGCCGCTTGCGCAGAGGTCTTGGCTTCTGCTGCCCAGCAGCAGCAGCAGCAGCAGCAGCAGCAGGAGAACTATCTGCTGCAGCAGATCCAGAGGCAGGTGTTGCTGCTGCTGCTGCTGCAGCTGCAGCTGCTGCCGCTGCTGCGGCATCAGCAGGAGTGCTACTAGCAGCAGGTTGGGTAGGCAGAGTGCGAGACTTAATAACAATACTAAGACGCTGCTGCTTCTTAGGTCCTGTTGCTGCTGTTGCTGCTGTTGCTGCTGCTGTTGTTGCTGCTGCTGAATTGGCTGTATTCTGCTGCTGCTGCTGATGCCACGGGGGCACGGGAGTTGTTGCAGCAGCTTGCTGCTGTTGCTGTTGTTGCTGCTGTTGTTGTCTCCATGGGTGAGAGATTTGGTTAGCAGCAGCAGCAGCAGCAGCAACAGCAGCAGCTTGCTGCTGCTGCTGCTGCATCTGTGCCAGCTGCTGCCCATAAGAGTTACGAAGGGAATCAAAGAAACCATTTGCTTCTAGCTGCTGCATTGCTGCAGCAGCAACAGCAGCAGCTTGCTGCGGGTTGCTGCAGCCAGCAGCAGCAAATGCAGATTGAAAATAATGTGCTGTATACTGCTGCTTAGCAAAATCTACATATTGTTCTACAGACATCGGTGCTGCTGCTGCTGCTGCTGCTGCTGTTGCTGCTGCTGCTGCTGCTGCTGTTGGTGGTGGTGTTGCTGCTACTGGAGGGGTTGGCGTAAGGGGAAATGGCATACCAGGTGGTCCTGGTGGTAGACCTGGTGCAGGTCCTGCTGCTGCTGCTGCTGCTGCTGCAGCTGCTGCTGCTGCTGCTGGATCCCATGGAGGTCCTCCTAAAGGAGAACCCATTACCCCCATAGGAATGCCGCATGCAGCAGGGAGTTGCTGCTGCTGCTGCTGCTGCAGCGCATAGTGCTGCTGCTGCTGCGGCTGCATCTTTTAGGGTTTACTGCAAAACCGCAACGAAGGGCTGCAGCAGCTGCTGCTGCTGCTGGATCTGCAGCAGCAGCAGCAGCAGCAGCAGGAAGTGCAGCAACAAGGAAGATGGAAAAAAAGCGATGAATTAAATTATTGCCTTTAAATATAAAAGGATAAAAAGGAAGAAAAAGAGCAGCAGCAGCAGGACATGCAGAGCTGTGCTGCTGTTCAAATACTGCTGCTGCTGCTGCTGCTGCTGCTGCTGCAGCGTACAGCTTTGTTAACGATTAAATAAACATATTTATATTTATATTTAAATACTAATTTAGCATTAATTTTGCTTCTTATATAATTAAAACGAATGCAGCAACAGCAGCAGCAGCAGCAGCAGCAGCTGGCTGGGGGCCCCGCAGCCGCTCTTGACGACCTTAGCAGCAGCAGCAGCAGCAGCAGCAACAACAGCAACTACTGCTTGCTAGCTGCACAGAGATTATTCAAAGTTTTTATGATTTGTTGCTGCTTCCTCTTCTTCTACCGATAGTCATACACTCTTTTTTGCTGCTATTGCAACAGCAGCAGCAGCAACAGCAGCAGCAGCAACAGCCCTCTTTTCTATCTGCGGTGTACAGACACCTCATAAAATATATTTTATGCGTAAATATTCATTTATTTATTAATAAATATACATAATAATATTACTATTATTATAATATACATAATATATAATATATATAATATATACATTATAGATAATATATACATAACACATATATATAAATATATATATTTATATATTATATATATAAATATATATAATTATATACATATATAATAACATATAATATATATAATATATATA